CTTTCAATAGCAACTGGTTTAATGTCACCCCACCATCTTAATTCAAAGACCACCTGCTGTACAACGGCAGTATTTGTTTACATCTTATCGTTTTGTAACGCTTGTTTGAATAAATTATTTTAAATATTTTTGTCTTTTCTCAAGAAGAAAATAAACACCAATTAGGTGAGTACCGACTATGAAAAAGTCCATAAATATTAATAAGCAATGAAGAAGCTTGACTCGATAAAAAATGCAGCTATGATATTGATTTTCGATTGTTATTGAAAAGTGCATTTAATTAGCCAAGGTCAACGACTGGAACTTGTTATGTAATAACGACAAGAAAAACTAATTTTAATGTGTTGTGAAGAAATAAATAAAAGGGTTTTAGACACGCTTTTCAACCGAATCAGGTGTAATTAATTATTTTTGATTTACTTTGACTACGAGATCTGCCTAGGAAAAATTATAATTATAGGCCCATGTTTTAGGATACCCCCCCATATAACGGTATCCCCCATTATTCGATATTTAGAGGTTTTTGGGTACAACCAACTACTTGCCTGCATTTTGTTTTTTTAGGCTGTGGTATGGTAGTAAATCTTTCTACTACAAATTATCAATATTTGGTCTGTTCCAGTACTTTTTTAATAGTAAATCTAGTAAAAGGGAAACATTTCAAAATTGCTCTCAGAATACAAAATAATTTGAAATGTTCGGGAACGCAAATCTAGTAAATATGCAAAATTAGATGGCAATACTTTATATCACATGCCATTTACTCGATCAAATTTCTCGAGTAAAAAGTTTACAAAGAGAGCCCCATTTTGTTTTGTGCTCTCTTAAATTTGAGTCAATGTTTTAGCAGTTTTGTGGGTTAAGGAACGGTTTTCGAGTAAAAAGTTGCAAAACATGTAAATTGAGTAGAATCGTTTAGGTTCAGGAACGGAACTATTGTTCTATCTCTTAGGGAAGTCCCCATATAACGCTACATCCAAAAGATCGGTATTTTGGGTGCACGTGATTCAATTTGGGAGCCGTATAATATTTTGATTTCTTATTGAGTAGAAAATTTCCATATCAACAATTTTCAATATTGGAACATGTTTCCAAGTAGCCCTCATATAATGGCAATCACCATTATTCGGCATTTTGGTTCCATTTTTAGGGAATATTTCTTCACTTTTTAGAGAAACCCCCATATAACAATACATTCCAAATTTCGATATTTTGAGGAGCTGGGGCGTGTGCTTCAACCAAACTAGTTGTAATTTTATAATTTTGGATTCTCATTGAGTAGAAAATCTCCTTACCAATCAATATTTGCTCAATTTTCTTGGTATTCTATGGGGTTTGGACCGAATTCGCTCTAATTTGATTTCGTAAATTCTCTTCCTTCCCAAAAATTATAAATGTTAGTTTACGGTTTCGTATAGCTGCCATAGAACGTTATCAACCAATTTTTGGTACATTGAAGACGCTAGCCACATTTTCCCACCTATGTGGCTGTAATTTGGTATAAAGAGTTCTGGAAACTTGAATTTCATATATATATATATATATATATATATAATGATCAATATAGGTACATGTTTTGACATAACCTCCATATAAGGTATGGACGCTTTGTCAATACTGAAGGGAAGTTGTCTATGAAGGCCCAAGTTTCGATATAATACAATTCCCACATAGAAGTTCCGCCTCTTTTTCGGTATTACCACTTAATGCAATAACATGCCATTGGAATTTTCGGAATCGTATGTTCCGGTCATGGGAAAAAAGGGTAAAGCCCACACTAAACGGCTGAAGCTAGAACCTTTAAATTTCCGATGAGGGTCACTCTTGGTCTAAAGGTGTCAGATAAGACTGGGTTTTTAGCAAATTCGTACTAGAACTTCGTTTGACGAACCGGTAGAACTAGAACTCTTAAATTTTACATGAGGGTCACTGATGCAGTTTAGAATAGATATAGCAAAGGGAATGCGAATAAGGGTTTGGAATGCGAATAAGGGTTGAGATGTAGGGTTTATTTCAGGAGATGGTTTTGAAAACGTGAACTCATGTGTACGAAAAGTATTATATGGTACTATATTTGGTAAAAATTTAATTTGGACATACAAATCGAACAGGAATCCTGGAATTTAAATTATCATTAACGTAGGAGTGTAGGATTGGGATATGAACGTAGTTTTGGAAATTTCGTACTATAATCGGTACAGTTTGGATTTGGGTGAACCGACAGAGCGGGAACAATGAAATTTGGAGTCAGGATCATTGTTGGGGTGTGGGATTGGGGTAATAAATGGTACTAAATTTGGTACAATTTGAATTTTAGGTGAACCAATAGAGTAAGAATCATGAAATTTGGAGTCAGGATTACTGTTGAGGTGTAAGATTGAGATATATAAAAGTTTTAGAAATTTTTACTAAATTTGGTACAATTTAAGTTGTGAGTTAATTGATAGAGTTGGATTCCTGAAACTTGGATTTGGAATCATTGTGGGGGTGTAGGGTTGGGGTATGTAGGATGGTTAGGATATGTACTAAATTTAGTACGATTTGATTTGTGGGTGAACCGATAGAGTTGGAATCATGAAATTTTGATTTAGGAACTCTGTGGAGGTGTAGGATTGGGGTATGTAGGAAGATTTGGAAATTGGTACTACTATGTACTAAATTTAGTATAATTTGAATTGTGGGTGAACCGATAGAGCAAGAATCATGAAATTTGGAGTCAGGATCACTGCTGAGGTTCAAGATTGAGATATGTAAAAGTTTTAGAAATTTGTGCTAATGTGTACTAAATTTGGTACAACTTGAATTGTGAGTTAACCGATAGAGTTGGAATCCTGAAACTTGGATTTCGGATCACTGTGGGGGTGTAGGGTTGGAATATGTAGAAAGTTTTAGAAAATTGTATTAAGTGTACTAAATTTGGTGCAATTTTAATTGTGGGTGAACCAATAGAGTTGAAATCCTAAAATTTGAATTTGGAATCATTGTGGGGGTGAAGGTTTGGGTTAAGTAGGAAGTTGTGGAAATTTGTAATACTGTGTACTATATTTGGTACAATTTGAATTGCAAGTGAACCGATAGAGTTGGAATCCTGAAACTTGGATTTAGGATCACTATGGAAGTGTACTACTGTGTACTAAATTTGGTACAATTTAAATTGTGGGTGAACCGATAGAGTTGGAATTTTGAAACTTGGATTTAGGAACAGTGTGGGGAGTAGGATTGTGGTATGTAGAATGTTTTGGAAATTGGTGCTATTGTGTACTAAATTTGATGCAATTTGAACTGTGGGTGAAACGATATAGTTGGAATCATGAAACTAGGATTAAGGATCACTGTGAGCGTATAGGGTTAAGTACGAAGTTTTGGAAATTCGTACTACTGTGTACTATATTTAGTACAATTTTAATTGTGGGTGAACCAAAACTTCGTACTACTGTGTACTATATTTAGTAAAATTTGAATTGTGGGTGAACCAATAGAGTTGAAATCCTGAAATTTTAATTTCGAATCATTGTGTAGGATCGGGGTATGCAGGAAGTTTTGTTGTATGGCTGAGGAATGTACTTATGGAAATAATGTGTGCTAAATGGAAATAAATTTGGTAAAATTGGGATTCGGGTGAACCTGACATATGCAGTTTTCTGTGAAAATATAATATGTTAATACATGTTTAAATATTAACCACATTACCTAACGAAGTAGCGGTCATATGCTAGTTTGTAATAATTTTAGTATCTTGTGCTAATCGGAAAATTTGTGTATTTAGTGCACAATTTACATAACATCATAAGAAAATATATATGGGAGCTATAGCTAAATCTCAACCGATTTTCACAAAACTAAACACATATCATTCCAGGCCCAATTCAGTATGCTATGCCAAATTTCGTGCAAATCGAAGGAAATATAGGGACTTTAGTATACCAATTACATTAAATCGGAAGAAAATATATATGGGAGCTATATATAAATCTCAACTGATTTTCAAAAAACTTAACACATATAATTCCAAGGTGAATTCTGTACCATATGCCAAATTTAGTGCAAATCGAAATATATATAGGGACTTTGGTGTACCATTTACATTAAATCGAACGAAAATATATATCGAGCTATATCGCAATCTCAACCGATTTTCAAAAAACTTACTGATATCATTCTATGGTCAATTCTATAAGCTATGCCGAATTTCGTGCAAATCCAAAGATATATAGGGACTTTGGTGAACCATATACATTAAATCGGTCGAAAATATATTTGGGAGTTATATCTAAATCTGAACCGATTTTCAAGAAAATTTACACACATCATTCTAGTCTCAATTCACTGCGCTATGTCAAATTTCGTGCATATCGAAAGATATATAGGGACTTTGGTGAACCATTTACATTAAATCGGTCGAAAATATATGTGGGAGCTATGCTAAATCTGAGCCGATTTTCATGAAATTTTACACACATCATTCTAGACTCAATTCAGTACGCTATGGCAAATTTCGTGCAAATCTGAAGACTTTGGACCACCATTTGCTTAAAATCGGACGAAACTATATGGGAGCTATATATAAATCTAAACCGATTTTCTCTGATTTCAATAGGGTTCGTCCTTGGGCCAAAAAAATGACATGTGCCAAATTTCATCCAAATCGGATCATAAATGCGACCTGCACTTTGTTCACAAAAATACATGGACGGACGGACAGTCGGACGGACCTGCATAAATCGACTCAGAAAGTTATTCTATGCATATTCTCAATAGGAACCATGGGTCTATCTCGATTCCTTTTCCCTATTACAAACATATGCACAAAGACATAGTACCATGTACCGAAGTGTGGTGAAGGATATATAAACGGGGTGCATCCAGAAATTGCTCGGCTTAGAGAGAAAAAAATAACAAAAATTAATTAGGTTTAACAAATTTATTTTATTTAATAAAAATAATAATAATTTAATGCTTAATAAATTACTAATCAACTAAAACGGACTTATGCGAAACAATTATTTAAAATTAACTTTTGGTGGCAAATAACCATTTGCTGTAACCGATGAAGGATTACCAAAACCGCTTGCTTTGTCCGACAACAAACCTTCATTAATCGAAGCGAAATCCAAAACAGGAGCAACCCCTTCATTCGAATAACGTGAAGTACCACCCAAACTATCGTATTCCTGTTGGATTATTTGTTGGGCACGCACAGCATCCTCGGGAGTGCGATATTTGACAAAATGTACTTCTGGTTTTTCGTTACTGTTTTGCTGCACCGTTTTCAGCTTATTAGCCAATTCGGCGATGTCAGGTTGTTTGCTTAGAACATAAATGGCGGTTTTCGATTCGGCTGTGTGTTTAGCTAATTGCAAAGCGGCATTTTCCAAAGCATGATTTTCGGGTGTTTTTATGAAGACAACACGAAGATTTTTTCGCATTGTTGCAGCCAAACGTTGGCTGCCATCAATGTCATTGAACTCTTCCTCAGGAGCTGCATACGAATAGAATTCCTTATTGAATTCCGGCCGTGATTCTACAGATTGATATTGTTCTCTGGCAACTGTATCGGCGGCGTATCCACCAGGTCCAATGTAATTTCCAGTGGCAGCTCCATTGTCTGTTGGTGTGGGTGCTGAGGTTGTTGCTGGGGTGGCATTACGCCCACGGTGTTTAAATCGATTTCCAAATCCATGAGTCGATCCACCCGCTGAGTAAGTGTATCCCAGTTTTTCAGCATTGGCAACAGCGAAGAGGACAATGATCTGAAAGAAGATACGGGAAATATTGTATTTGATTAAAATTGATATTACAAGTATAATAGTAAGAAAGGTGTCAATTTGTCAAATATATTAAAAAAACAAGTGAAAAAGGTGTTAAGCTCGTCCGGGCAGAACTTTGGGTACTCTCCACCATAGGTATACTGACAGGTAGTTGAAATGAAAATAGAGGGAAAATTCCAAAAAGTGGACTTATACCAAACTTTCTATAAACCGGCTTATGTAAACCATAAAAACCAAATACAAATTTCTGCTAATTGAGGACTGATACAGCTTTAGACCCACAAAAAACGAAAATTGGGGTACCCTTATATTGGGGCTACCCAAAAAATTGACTATATTTATATTTTCAGCCGAAAATTGGGGGTAATCTTATGTGGGAGCTATGCCTAAACGTGGACCGATATATCCATCTTCGAACTTGACCTGCCTGCAGACAAAAGACGACTCTATGCAACATTTTGACAATCTATCTCAATTCGTTTAGATGCTAGAGTAATTACAACAGACATTTAAGCTGATCAAGAATATATATACTTTCATATATTATGATTCTGATTCTGTAGTGGGATTCTATACTACAGAAGTGAACCAGTAAGGAAAGTTCAAAATCGGACGGGGCCGACTATATGATACCCTTCACCACTTTGGGTACTTGCAAGACATGTTATTATCTACAATATCCTGTAGATAGAACGGTCATACAATCTTTGGAGAGCCATTAAGATGGTATCGGCCGATTTCAACAAACCTTACCACGCATCATGTTTTTCTCAATAGCAATCGCTATACAAAATTTTACTCAATCAGACAAATATAGGGAGTTTGGTGTATCATTCACAAAAAATCCGACGAAACTATATTTGGAAGCAATATCTAAATCTGAACTGATTTTAACAAAACTTCGCAGACATCAGTTAGGACCTAATTCAGTACTCTGTGCAAAATTTTGTCCCAATCGGACAAATATTGGGAATTTGGTGCACCATTCACAAAAAGTCGGACTAAACTATATATGGGAGCTATATCTAAATCTGAACGGATTTTTTAAAAGAAAAACTTCGCAGACATCAATCTGAATTCGATTCAGTACTCTGTGCAAAAATTTGTCTAAATTGGACAAATATTGGGAGTTTGGTGCATCATTCACAAAAAATCGGACGAAACTATATATGGGAGCTATATCTAATTCTGAACCAATTTCAACAAAACTTCGCATACATTAGTCTGCACCTAATTCAGTACTCTGTGCAAAATTTTGTGCCAATCGGAGAGATATTGGGAGTTTGCTGCATCATTTATATAAAATCGGACGAAACTATATGTAGGAGCTATATCGAAATCAGAACCGATTTTAACTAAACTTCGCAGACATCAGTCTGGATCTAAATCAGTACTCTGTGCAAAATGTTGTCCCAATCGGATATTGGGAGTTTGGTGTATCATTCACCACAAAATCGGAACTAACTAAATCTGAACCGATTTTAACAAAACTTCGCAGACATCTGTCTGGACCTAATTCATAACTATGTGCAAAATTGTGTGCCAGTCGGACAAATATTGGGAGTTTGGTGCCTCATTCATATAAAATCGAACGACTATATATATGGGAGCTATATCTAAATTTGAACCGATTACAACAAAACTCCGCACACATAAGCATGGACCTGATACAGTGCGCTGTGCAAAATTTTGACCCAATCGGACAAATGTTGGGTGTATGGTGCATCATTTAAATAAAATCGGACGAAACTATATATGACAGCTATATCTAAATCTGAACCGATTTTCTCCAATTTAAATAGGGTTCTTCCTTGGGCCAAATAAGTGAACTGTGCCAAAGTTTTTCCGACTTTATAGGACCTGTACTTTGTTAACAAAAATACATGAATTCTCAAAAGGAACATGTGACATGCTGTTACATATGCACAAAGACATAATACCCAGTACCACAGTGTGGTGAAGTATAAAAAAGGAACCATGGCTATTGCGGCAAAGAATACTCGTTTCAATGTATAGAAGAAAAGGAACTTTGGAATTGGGTATTAGATATATTTTTCATGACAGTTTATTTACCCTTCATCACACTGTGGTACAGGGTACTATGTCCATGTTTGTGTCTATCTCGATTCCTTTTAACTGTTACAAACATATGCACAAAGACATAATACCCAGTACCACAGTGTGGTGAAGGGTATAAAAATGGAATTCTGCAATGCAGAAGTAGACAAATTTGAGCTATTGCTTTGGAATTGGGTATAAGATACATTTTTCATGACAGTTTATTATACCCTTCATCACGTGTGTTGTGTTGTGACTTGTGGTATAGGACTCGAAAAAATACAAAAAAAATTATGTCAAAATTTTAATCTGATCATCACAGAAAATTAAAGGCGTTGTCCTTGACCATAGGATCCTCAAGGAAAATTTCAAAGGGGAAATTTCCCCCCTCTATTGTGGTAATATGTTACTAAATAATATATGAATACGTAAGGTCCTGAAAATATTTACGTGTAACTCCCACATCCGAGTACATACGAACATATAATTGGTATCAATTTAAAGGTGAACCACTCCTCTTAAATATACTATCAACTTCCTGGGTCTATGTCCTTTAGGAGTAAATATATACGACATAGAATACAGAATTTGTCATTTTTCACACAAAAGTCAGGGTCCATTTGACCCCCTAAATATTTTTGCATGATTATCCCCTTCTCCATAATATATGTTTGGGCCATAATTGCGGCCTCTGGAGCTTCCAGGAAAACCGACAAAAATTAAGCATTTGGTCCATTTCATCTCCTTAATATTAACCAATCTTTACCAAAAACAATATATATCATCCTACATGCAAAATTTCGTGAAGATTGGTCCATAACTGTGGCCTGTATCGTGTTTACAAATTATAATGGACACACGGACGGACGGACACACATGTCTAGATCGACTCAGCTAGTCGAGATATGACGATCGGTATACTCAAAGGTTGATCTAGGGACAATATTTCGCCGCGTTACAAACTCTTGGGGCTGCACAAAGCTATAATACCCTGACAACATATATATATAATTGACAACATAGTTGTGTAGGGTATAATAATACCCTGACAACATAGTTGTGTAGGGTATAAATATTTTGGCATATCATGAATTATTTTCCGGCAGAGGTCCACTTCTTGGTAAACTTAACATATCTTATATTTTTTGTTATTCACTATTTGAAGTTCTTTTCATATCTTTAACCATAAACACATATAACGAGTGGAGATACGAATAATTCTCTGTAGTATTATAATATTATTTTTTTTTAAAAAAAATTGTATATCTAATTATTTTCCAAATCACATCATTTTACACTTTCATTAATTTCATTGTTCCTTTTGTTTTAATTTTTCAATATTTTCAGTTCCTTATTATATTCAATTCTGTTATTTCACACATTAACACTTACGAAAAATCCACGCATTTTAGTTTTGAATCAATTTTGTAAAAATTAAAAAAAAATAAACCCTTAACGGAAACTAATGTTTTGACGTTTTGTTGATGTTTAAACCATTGAATCGGATACGCAGCGTATTTTATAGAAAATTTGATAATTTTTCGCTGCGATAGATCTGTGTGTATGTGGATCGCATGTCTAACGGCGTATCTTTGATATGATTGCAACATTGCATAGCCAATTAAATGACATTTTGTTTTACATTGCTGATTAATAACAGGCGGTGTTTTTTTTTTGTCGATGTCGATTTTTTGGTGTTTTGCAAAGCATTCAACATAAACATCAAAAGTGCCCCACAAGATGAACTTGTTTTGTGAGAAAATCATCAACGAAATAATGGGTATGAATTTTTTGGAAATTATGTAAATAAAACTAGTTTGTCACATTGTTTGAAGGGGTTGAGATGTGCGGCATTGGTCGAAAATGGTTATGCCCTATTGATTTTTAAATCGATGTAAATCATATATTGATGATGTATTTAAACGAAATCCGGAACCCTGATAATGTTTGTATGATACGTAATGCTATTATTCATAATCTTGCATACCGAATGAATTAAATTGATTGTATTTCAGATGAATTGGCCGACTAAAATTTGAAGATACAAGATACGATGAGTTAAATTGTTTAATAATCAGAGACGATTTTTAAAATATTGTACAAAACTACTAGCATAGCGTGGACATTTTATAACCCTTTAATATGGTACAGGGTATTATGTTTGGCGGCACATAAAAGAAAACTAAATAGATCCATTTTCGCTTTTTGGAGAACTTTAGACAAGTGTTTCAACTTAATTTTCTCTAATTGATTATTATACCCTTCACCATAAGGTGTATATTAAATTTGTCATTCCGTTTGCAACACCTCGAAATATTCTCCGGAGACCCCATAAAGTATATATATATATATATTCTTGACTAGAACAAATTTCTTATATATTAAAGGACCTCCTCATGGCGGAGGGTGTATAAAATTCGGTCGGGGCGAGCTTAACATCGCATTAAGTTGTTTATACAGGTTGTTTATAACAGGCAAAAAGAAAAGAGATAGATACATGGTTCCTTATGAGAATATGCATAGAATCACTTTCTAAGTCGATTTATACTTGTCCGTCTGTCCATGTTAAATTGTAAACAAAGTACAGGTCGCATTTATGATCCGAATTGGATGAAAAATGGGCACAGGTCACTTGTTTGGCCCAAGGACGAACCCTATTGAAATTTGGAAAAATCCCATATATATATTCGTCCGATTTAATGTAAATGGTGCACCAGATTTAGATATAGCTCCCATATATATATTCGTCCGATTTAATGTAAATGGTGCACCAAAGTCCCTATATATCTTTCGACTTGCACGAAATTTTGCACAGCGTACTGAACTAGGTCTAGAATGATGTGTGTTTAGTTTCCCGAAAATCGGTTCAGATTTAGATATATCTCCCATATATATTCGTCCGATTTAAGGTAAATGGTGTACTAAAGTCGCTATATATCTTTCGATTTGCACGAAATGATGTGTGTAAAATTTCGTGAAAATTGGTTCAGATGTAGATAAAGCTGCCATATGTATGTTCGACCGATTTAATTGCACAGCGAACTGAACTAGGTCTAGAATGATGTGTGTTTAGTTTCCCGAAAATCGGTTCAGATTTAGATATATCTCCCATATATATTCGTCCGATTTAAGGTAAATGGTGTACTAAAGTCGCTATATATCTTTCGATTTGCACGAAATGATGTGTGTAAAATTTCGTGAAAATTGGTTCAGATGTAGATATAGCTGCCATATTTATGTTCGACCGATTTAATGTAAATGGTATACCAAAGTCCTTATATATCCTTCGATTTGGGCGAAATTCGGCACAGCGTACTAATTTGGGTCTAGAATGATGTGTGTAAAATTTCTTGAAAATCGGGTCAGATTTAGATATAGCTCCCATATATATTTTCGTCCGATTTAAGGTAAATGGGGCGCCAAAGTCCCTATATATCTTTTGATTTAAACGAAATGTGGCATAGAATACTAAATTAGGTCCAGAATGATGTGTGCCAAGTTTCGAGAAAATCGGTTCAGATATAGATATAGCTCCCAGATATATATATATATATATATCTTTCGAATTGCTCGAATTTTTGCATAGTGTACTGAATTATGTCTAGAATGACGCGTGTCAAGTTTCGAGAAAATCGTACCAGATTTAGAAATAGCTCCCATATATATCTTCGTCCGATTTAAGGGGACCCCCCCATTCTCGGGGTCAACAATTTTTTTGACTTAATTCGAATCTACACTAAATCAAGAATGTCCCTACAAAATTTCAAGTGAAAATCTCAAGAACTCTTGAAAATATAGCCGATTTATTGTGTCAGCATCAATTGAGGGCTAAAGGGCTTCTCAAACTTTAAACGCGTTTTTCTCTTTTGCGAATGGCAAGCACGATAACTCAAAAACTAATAACACAATCGATTCCAAATTTTTACACGTTTCTCTGTGAGTGTATAGCTATCGTATGAACTAGGATAAAGCCATTCGGTGAAGATCTTCCTTATTTTTTAACTTGGTTTTTGGTCAAAAATCGGCGATTTTCCAAAAATATTTTTTCAAAGGTCCGCCATTTTGTTAATTTTAGAGCGAAGTCAATAATCCTAGTTCATACGAGAGCCAGACATGTACTCTTTCTAACACCGTTGGAATTTTCGGATTCCGATGTTTCAGTGAGGAGTTATCATGCCCGCCATCAAAAATAAGGACCTTTCTTTAATTACAAAAAACAACAACAAAACAATAACAAAAATTTTTTGTTCATTATTTTTCTTCCCTTTTAAATCTTTAATTATATATGTGGAAAGTTACAAACCTTAACAAGCATTGGTATTGATTTACCAGCCCATTGAAAATCTTGAAAAATTAAAATCGAGAATAGGTGGGGTTCCCTTAAGGTAAATGGGACACCAAAGTCCCTATATATCTTTCGATTTGCACGAAATTTGGCACAACGTAATGAATTAAGTCTAGAATGATGTGTGTTAAGTTTCCTAAAATCGGTTCAGATCAAATGAAAAATTTAGTATCGGTTGCAGAATGACATGTTTATGGATCCAATTTCATTTTACTGGTCCTCTAAAAATGCGACGTCTGTTAGGGTTCATCTGTTAATATACCCAAAGTGGTGAAGGGTATCATATAGTCGGACCCGTCCGACTTTACTACTTTCCTTACTGGTTTTTGTTTAAATTTGTAAATTATAACCAGTGAGCGGAGCAGTATAGTCGGACGGGGCCGACCATACCATACCCTACACAACTGCCACGAAAAGCTAACTTTTTGCGGTTCTATATTCAGAGCCTGGGCAATATTTCGTGATATTTGCACCCTTTTTACCGATTATACATCAACAACTGCACTTTCTAACCCTGACATACATCAACAAATGCACTTTATAACCCTGCCACATTTTCAAACAATTTTTTTCTTGAAGTGAATTTTTACGACATAAAATAAAAAATTGTTCACTTGACCGATCATCATCTAAACAGCCGCTCTAATTTTTTAGTCAGATCCCCTTCACCTTGTAATATATGTGATGTTCTGAATATAATAATTGCCTCTAGAGCGACTAGAAAATCTGACAAAATTAAAGTTTTCGGTTCATTGCACCCTGAATGAAATCTCAACTTCACCGAAAACTATAGGCGTCGTCCTTGACCTTAATCGGAAATTCATGTACAATTTCAAAGCGATCAGCACGACATTTCCGTCCTCTAATGGAGTAACAGTAATAATATGCATATAGTCAACTGTACCTAATTACGTATAACTCCCACCTCGGAGTACATACATCCATGTAATTTGAAGGTCAACAACTCCTCTTGCATATACTTTCACCTTCTCCGGTATATGTCCTTCAGGAGCAAGTATATACGCCCCAGAATAAAAAATGTGTAATTTTCCACACAAAAATCAGGGTCCATTTGACCCGCTAAATATTGATCGATCTTTATCGAAACAAGGCATGCTTATTCTTTGGCCCGATCCCCTTCTTCATGTAAAATTTCACAGTGTTCGGACCATAATTTTGGAATTCAGAGTTCTTAGACGGGGAATAATGTCAATGCGGAAAATGTTATTTATAGGTTTATACTTTTATATAACATAGAGGAACTTCGGGTAATGTGGATTATGCGACAAAATCTGATAGCCCGTTGGCATGATTTTTTATTTTTGTAAAATTTGGACAATTTTATGGGTGTGGTACCATATTGTCGTATAAAGTTGTATATACCCTCATTAGCCATAAGGCTGAGGGTATAAAATCAATATCGGGTAATATTAACCACGATTAAAAAGCGTCCTTTTCATGGGTACTATGTCGAAAGATGGGCCCATAATAAAAACATTTCTGCAAGGAGGTATTCTATCCTTTTTAAACTCGATATGCTATATAGTATCGACTTCAGTTGGATTATAACCTAGGAACTTCAAAATATTGCAAATGGGGGCGGAACCTTTAAAGGGGCTATTCCAAAACATGGGTCTCATTGAAATATTGGTTTAATTTTGCAAATGTTTTTATATATTTTTTTGCATTTTTATACCCTACACAACTATGTTGTCAGGGTATTATAGCTTTGTGCAGCCCCAAGAGTTTGTAACGCCGCGAAATACTGGTCCTAGACCCACCTTTAAGTATACCGATCGTCATATCTCGACTAGCTGAGTCGATCTAGACATGTGTGTCCAAAACATGGGTCTCATTGAAATATTGGTTTAATTTTGCAAATGTTTTTATATATTTTTTTCGCATTTTTATACCCTACACAACTATGTTGTCAGGGTATTATAGCTTTGTCCAGTCCGTCCTACCGTCCGTCCATTATAATTTGTAAACACGATACAGGCCCCAGTTATGGACCAATCTTCACGAAATTTTGCATGTAGGATGGGTTCTGGCCAATGAAGACCCCTATTGTTTTTGGTAAAGATCGGTTAATATTCAGGGGGTGAAATGGACCAAAAGCTTTTTT